CACCAAGCTTGTTGTGCCGAAGATGCTTAGGCACGAGCGCCATGCACATGCACCCGAACACCCGAAGCATATCCACCTTTGGCTTCCTTCCTAGCCACTCCACATAGGGCACCCATTTGTCTGCTCCCACATGAGTCAAGGCTCTGTTCTTGGCCACACACGCGCTCCGCACCGCATCAGGCCAGAAATAGTCGGGTAGCCCGGCTTCAATGAGCAACCCGCGTGCCGCCTCCGTGATTGTGCGGTTCGCTCGCTCGACGATGCCGTTCATTGCAGGGGAGTATGGCATGGTGAGGGAGTGCCGAATACCATTCTTCTTCAGCCACAACCCAAACTCCTTGCTCAGGAACTCTCCCCCTCGATCGGTGCGGATTGACTTGACTAGACGGTCTTGTTGCCGCTCCACCATCGGGAACCAATCCGTCTTCAACGTTTCAGCCACGTCGCTCTTCTTGGCCAGCACGTACACCCAAGTCATGCGGGTGTAGACGTCGACAATGGTGAGAAAATACTCAGCTCCAGCAGCTCCAAGCTTCAGGGGGCCCACCACGTCCATCACCACCTCATCAAGCGGTGCCTTTGCCGTTGCCTCCGAACTAGGGAACGGAAACCGGGTGAACTTGGCTTGAATGCACGTCGGGCAGCCAAGCACCTCATCGGGCTCCCCCTTCACACGTATGCCAGCAACCATCTCATTCTTCACTAGCTGCTGCAAGATGGGCAGGGCCACATGCCCCATGCGCCGATGCAAGGTGAGCCAATCACACTCCCCCGTAGCCGAAGTTGGATTGGAGAATGCCGCGCTCGCAATAGCGCCCCACATACTCTCTCCGTAGTCCTCCTCCGCTGCTGTCTCTGGGTTCTCCTCACCCTTTTGCTGCTCCTTGGTTGCTGCACCACTCTCCTTAGGTTCACTGAACTTGCTGGTCCCTCCAGGTTTGCTCTTCTTGAGCTCATTCTCCTTAGCGCGACCGTTCGCGCCATCGTCGCTACCGACCGCTCCATCCTTGGTGCTGATGCTTGCTGCCACTTGCCTCTCCTTAGGCATAGGGACCACTGGGATCTGCCACATCTCGTTGTAGACATCCCTGTCCTCATGAAGGTCCCAAAGAATTCGATCGCCAAGCCTTGCGGTGTAGGTCTTGGCTCCCTTCGAGTTCGTGTCCATGCCGGCCTTTGCCAACCGCCGCACGGAAATCAGGTTTGCAGCAAGGCTGGGCACCCAAAGCACGTTCTTGAGGCCCACCATCTTCCCATCAGCACCCTTGAACATGGCCTTGCCCATGCCTTTCACCTCTGCTCGCTGCCCCAAAGCCGATGTGACATGCTTCACCGGTGACGGCTCGAGTTCGGTGAGCAAGTCCGGGCGAGGTGTCATGCTATAGGTAGCGCCACTATCAATCACCCAATAGTCCAGGGGGTGTAGGGTCACCTTCCCCACAGCTGCTGGCTCCTCAAAGCCTTCATCCTTCTCTGGACCAGCCGATACTTGCGTCGACACGAAGTAGAATAGACCCGGGTATCGATCGTCGCTCGGGTCCTTGTCGTTGTCTCCGCTCTTCATGTTTGCAGCTCCGCCACCGCGACCGCCACGGCCTCCACGGCCTCGTCCTCTCCCTCCTCCTGCTCCTCTACCCTCTTGGCCTTGAGCAGGGGTCCAACCATCAGGGAGTTTGTAGCAGTCGCGCCACATGTGTCCGCTCTTGTGGCAATAGTGACACTCGCTGTCGAATCGGCCGCGACCGCGTCCGTAGCTCTTGTCGTCGCTGCCGTAACCGCCACTCCCGCGGCCTCCGCCGAAGTTGCTGCCACCAAACCTTCCTCCCCCTCGTCCTCTGCCTCTTCCTCGACCATATCCACGGCCGATGCTCGCTGCCCCAGCGCCATCCGCACTCGCCAACTCACGGCGGCGGAAATCCTCTTGAAGGATAGCTCGCTTCACGTCTTCAAGCGAGAGGCGGGGCAAGTCGCGATTAAGGTTGATGATGAGCGAGGACCATGACTCAGGGAGTAGGGCCAGCAACTTGGTCTTCTTTTGGAGCTCACTATAGTTCAAATCAGCTCCCTCAAGCCGCGTCAACAAGTCGAAGAATTTCTGCACCCCTTCTTCAACCGCTTCGTTTTTCTTCAATTCGTAGTGCCGCCATTTGCCGTTCCAACACCACAGCTACCGCCGCTGTTGCAGGAGCGTGTACACCCTTGAGAGCAGCCCATGCCTTTGGTCCCTTCTCTGGTTCACGCTGGAAAGGCTTGATGTGACGGATCTGACTGCTCCCCAACGCTTGCCCTAGTAGGAGGTAGCCTTGTGCGCTCTTCCGCACCCACGGGCTCTTCTCCGGGTCGTTCTCGGGGCGCTTCTCCGTTCCTTCCATCACCTCCAGCAGGTCATAGTGGTCAAAGATGTTCTCCATCTTGAAGGACCATTCAGCAAAGTTGTCACCGTTGAACTTGTCAAGCCCAAACACCCTAGGCTCATCCCTAGGTGGGCCAAGACTTGGTTGCATGGGCGCCATGGCTGAATCACGGGGTTGGCCTTGAGCTTGAGCTTCTCCACTGCCACCAGCACCTCTGCCACCCCTTTCCTCAGGTCCAGACATTGTCGAAACTGCTCCAAGGGCCTCTGATACCACTTGTTATAGTCACAATAGGCTTGAATGTGCCTAAAACGAAAGATAGAGAGCACAGACGGATTTCTGCACAGCGGCTTCAAACGTTGATAGCGTTCTGCTCACAGCTGCAAATGACCTGATTCAAATTGGATCTGGAGCGTCTTCACGTCGTCTACAATTAGCAATTGAGATTGCACGATTTGATAAAGAATTGACGACACAGCATCGGTTTGAACGAACGGTACTATGGCAGCCACTATAGTCTTAGAACACAAGATAGGAAGAGTTACGAGTTGGGAATGACTCCCAGCTCCTACAAACCCCAAGAGCCGAGGTACAGTGATGTGGAACAGTGCCACACTGTCCCCAACCACGAAGGGTCTCGAAACTACCCTTCACTAGGGCCTACACCAAGTGAAATGTTACACTACACAAAGTAATGTAAATATCTTCAATATCTTGAGGCGTACCCTTTTTGGCGAGCTTCGAAATCACTTGAGGCTTGACACCAAGGCTCGGGCTCTTCATCACAAACTCATCCTTGAGTTCTTGATGGGTCTGCTGCACACACATGCGACACGCCGAACGTTCGACACAGGACAAAATAGAAACCGCGCACGACACAATAGAAACCGCGCGCGAGACACAAACGACCGCGTAACACGCGTCTAGCGATAACTCGCTATTGACTCGACACACACACTCGACATCATGACTCAACATTCACACACAATTATAAGCATGAAATATATATTATCCCATGCCCTCATACCATTCCATACACACACACATTCACGCACACGGACAACAAGCCGAGTGCAAACCGTAGGGTTGCACCAACACAGACGCGTCACGCCCAAACACGGGAGTTTTTCGGCCAGACGCGTCACGCCCAAACACTCAATTGCCTTCTGCGTCCCTCATGCTTGTCAGAAGCCGAGGCTGGACTTCACCATCAGGGCGACAAGATATCCACCTAGGGCCCCACAGCAGATCTCCCGATTCGTGATCCTCACATGCTGCGCTCTGCTCACCCACCTGCTCCCCATCCTCTGCTCACTCTTCTCACCCACCCTGCTCCCTCTCCCACCCGCGCCCCCTGCCCCTGCTTCCTCCGCGACCACCTTTTCTCCGTCCCGCTCGCCTGTCCAGAGCAGAGCTCGGCAAGAATGCACCAGAGCAGTCGCGGTGGCCTGTAGGGCAGCCGTAGGGCGAGAATTCTCTGGTCTGTAGGACCAGACGTCGATCTTGGGGCTGAAGGGCAACGTCAGGATGCCCTCAGGCGCGCGGTAGGAGCGCGACTGAAAGGCAGCCCAAGGGGAGCTTCCCTGTACGCGCGTGATTGCAAGAAGCAGCCTGTACTGACCCACCCACTTCCGTCCCCTTCAACCACTCTCCATTCCTCCCCCCCGCTTTGAGTGCAGGTGCGGGAGCGGTGTGAAGCGGTGGAGGCGAATATGGGTGAGCTACCGCAGCTTCTGGCGACCAGCCAGCAGGCAGAGTCGGTGCAGCGGCAGCAGCAGCGGCAGCAGCAGCAGCACAACGAGCAGCGGCAGCAGCAGCCGCAGCAGCAGGAGCAGCAGCAGCTGCTGTTGCAGCAGCGGATTCAGCAGCTGCAGCAGCAGCAGGTGCAGCAACAGCTGCTGCAGCTGCAACAGCAGCTGCTGCAGCTGCAGCAGCAGCAACAGCAGCAGCTCCAGCAGCAGCAGAACCACCAGCAGCAGCAGACCCAGCAGCACAATGAGCAGCAGCAGGAGCAGCAGCAGCAGCACAATGAGCAGCAGCAGCAGCAGCACCACAATGAGCAGCAGCAGGAGCAGCACCACAATGAGCAGCAGCAGCAGCACAACGAGCAGCAGCAGCAGCAGCAGCAGCAGCAGGTGCAGCAGCAGCAGGAACAGCAGCAGGAGCAGAACAGCGAGCAGCAGCAGCAGCAGCAGGCGCAGCAGGTGCGGAAACTGCGGCAGCAACTGCGGCAGCAGCGTCAGCAGCTCCAGCAGCAGCGGCAGCAGCAGCAAAGAGCCAGCCAGCAGCTGCTCCTCGAGCTCCACCAGCTGCATGATTGCCAGTGTTACAAGAAACGCCAGAAAAACCTTCCAGGGATTTGGTTTGATAGAGGAAAGCGGTGGCGGGTGCTGGAAATAAAAGTCAATGGGGTACGCCAACAAATATGCAATTGGAGGGAGGAGCTGGAGGCTGCTGGCTGGGCTGCTTTGACTCGTGTGCTGCTCACAGATGAGTCTGTGCCGGGCAATACTAAGAGGATGATGCGCAAGGTTAGTGGGATACTCAATCCCGATGAAGTCGAAGAGATACGACAGAGGAGAGAAGACAGGGACTTCCACAATTTCTATCAAAGCATCGTACGAGCTGGAGATGGAGAGCAGAGAATTAGCAGGCGGAGCCACTGGGGCCGTAACTTTCCACGAGGTAGCCCTCTGTGGATGTTGTGGCAGCGCCATTGCCCGGTGGAGCTGCGGGTGTGAGCTGGAAGGTAGGGTAGGGCGGGTTGGAGAGGGACAATGGGAGAGCGGGGCTGGGAGAGGGAGGCTGGGAGAGGGAGGCTGGGAGAGGGAGGCTGGGAGAGGGAGGCTGGCAGAGGGAGGCTGGGAGAGGGAGGCTGGGAGAGGGAGGCTGGGAGAGGGAGGCTGGGAGAGGGAGGCTGGGAGAGGGAGGCTGGCAGAGGGAGGCTGGCAGAGGGAGGCTGGCAGAGGGAGGCTGGGAGAGGGAGGCTGGGAGAGGGAGGCTGGGAGAGGGAGGCTGGGAGAGGGAGGCTGGCAGAGGGAGGCTGGCAGAGGGAGGCTGGCAGAGGGAGGCTGGCAGAGGGAGGCTGGCAGAGGGAGGCTGGGAGAGGGAGGCTGGCAGAGGGAGGCTGGGAGAGGGAGGCTGGCAGAGGGAGGCTGGCAGAGGGAGGCTGGCAGAGGGAGGCTGGGAGAGGGAGGCTGGCAGAGGGAGGCTGGGAGAGGGAGGCTGGGAGAGGGAGGCTGGGAGAGGGAGGCTGGCAGAGGGAGGCTGGCAGAGGGAGGCTGGCAGAGGGAGGCTGGCAGAGGGAGGCTGGCAGAGGGAGGCTGGCAGAGGGAGGCTGGGAGAGGGAGGCTGGCAGAGGGAGGCTGGCAGAGGGAGGCTGGGAGAGGGAGGCTGGGAGAGGGAGGCTGGCAGAGGGAGGCTGGCAGAGGGAGGCTGGCAGAGGGAGGCTGGCAGAGGGAGGCTGGGAGAGGGAGGCTGGGAGAGGGAGGCTGGCAGAGGGAGGCTGGCAGAGGGAGGCTGGGAGAGGGAGGCTGGGAGAGGGAGGCTGGCAGAGGGAGGCTGGCAGAGGGAGGCTGGCAGAGGGAGGCTGGGAGAGGGAGGCTGGCAGAGGAGCGGTCAGAAAGGGGTGTTGGGAAGAGGTAGAGGTGGAAAGGGGGCACTGGAGGGGGGAGGGCGAGTGTGGAGGAGGGCTGGAGAAGGTGCATGGTCAAATGGGGTGGAGGCTTGAGCTTTGTGCTAGGTATGATTCGTCTTCTCTTCCGTGCTAGTCACTCTCTTTGTGAAAATACTTTGCATGAACCACTCTTTTCATCAATGGTCATACGGGAAAATGGTTTTTCTCTATCATAATGTTTTACAACGAAACACTAACATAACCCACAGGACCATTGGTTTTCTGTCTAACGAATGACAATGAACAGAATTGGCAGCAAATATATCTGAATCCCAGTCCTGTAATGTGGCCCACCGTTAGCCTTCCACCTCTACTAGCTGCACCCTGTGCGGAGTCTCCTCTTCCTGCCCCTCCTTCTGAGAGTGCTGCAACCACTTGCCAAGCACATGCTGCTCCTCCCCACCACCCCTTCTGCCACTTCCCTCCCCTTGCTACACTAACAAGAAGCTTATGGGTTGTCCAGCGAATCTGATCCGTGTATCCATTGCATCCACTGATGGTACTCGGCACACCACTGAGGGTACATTCGGGACACGCGTCACAAAAGCCTCGCGTCGCAAACGACTAGATTCAGTGCGGTGGAAACATTTGCTATTTAGGTGTAAGGCGGTGCAGAGTGGTACACTGCCTTTGTGACGACATGTCTTCGCCCGAATGTACCCTGAGTAGACACTCCCCCCTCCCCTACACCCATCCCATAATCACCCTCCCTATGCCAAAACCCTTCACTGCACGCCCCCACCTGTGACCTGACCCTCCCATAGCACCTCCCCCCACTCTCCTTCCTGTTTTCTCCATACCCACTCCCACTTCACTCCTCGTGCTTCTCCTTTTCTGCTCTCCAGGCTCTCCCCCCTGCTGCTCCTTCACTGTAGGAACGGCTGTTCCATGTGGCAAAAAGAAATGTAGGCTCCTCCCGAGATGGCACAGAGAGTGAACTGCTCACTCACAGGCAAAGGGGACATGGATACGGGGGAGCTTGGAAGTGGAGGGGGGAAGATGGAGAGGGGATAGAGGGAAGGGGGAGGGGGAGAAAGAACAACGGCGTGTCATAGAAAGAGATACACATACGGTAAGAAGTAGAGATGGGGAGCAACTCAAGTAGAGATGGAAGCAGAGACACATGCACGCAAGCAGAGACACATGCACGCAAGCAGAGACACATGCACGCAAGCAGAGACACATGCACGCAAGCAGAGACACATGCACGCAAGCAGAGACACATGCACGCAAGCAGAGACACATGCACGCAAGCAGAGACACATGCACGCAAGCAGAGACACATGCACGCAAGCAGAGACACATGCACGCAAGCAGAGACACATGCACGCAAGCAGAGACACATGCACGCAAGCAGAGACACATGCACGCAAGCAGAGACACATGCACGCAAGCAGAGACACATGCACGCAAGCAGAGACACATGCACGCAAGCAGAGACACATGCACGCAAGCAGAGACACATGCACGCAAGCAGAGACACATGCACGCAAGCAGAGACACATGCACGCAAGCAGAGACACATGCACGCAAGCAGAGACACATGCACGCAAGCAGAGACACATGCACGCAAGCAGAGACACATGCACGCAAGCAGAGACACATGCACGCAAGCAGAGACACATGCACGCAAGCAGAGACACATGCACGCAAGCAGAGACACATGCACGCAAGCAGAGACACATGCACGCAAGCAGAGACACATGCACGCAAGCAGAGACACATGCACGCAAGCAGAGACACATGCACGCAAGCAGAGACACATGCACGCAAGCAGAGACACATGCACGCAAGCAGAGACACATGCACGCAAGCAGAGACACATGCACGCAAGCAGAGACACATGCATGCAAGCAGAGACACATGCACGCAAGCCGACACATTCATGCAGGTGAGTGTGGGGCACTCACCAGAAGTGTAAGGTGAGTGTGGGACAGGTGAGTGTGGAGTTCAACAAGAGAGAGCAGCCGCTTTTGCCAGAGTCCCGCCCGCCTCTGCCAGTCTCACCTGGCCCACAGCCACTTGAGCGGGAAGGGCGGGTCCTTGGGTTCCCCACTCCCAGCCGTAGCAGTCAAGCAGCGAAAAGCGCCCACCCAGTCCGCCCAGCAGAGCGAGTCCAGCATGTCAGCTGCCCCCACACTCGCCTCCCGCGCTCACTGTGCCACTCTCAGCCGCCCTCAAGCTCGCCTCCAGCACTTGAAAGTTCTCCTCCACCCCCCCAGTCGGCCCAGCAGAGAGCATATAGCATGTCAGCGGCCCTTACACTCCCGTCCAGTGCTCGGTCCACGGCATTCCAGAAGGGGCGCGAGGAGAAAAGGCCACTCCATCCAGTAGTCGTGATCGCGATCTGCGTACGTGAAGACATCCTCAAAGAGCGAAGTCGCACCAGCTGCAGTAGCGGGCGCTGCTGGCCGCCGGTGCTGGTGTTGGTGGCGGTACGAGTTTCTGAAGTCCCAGCGCTGCTGGAAGTGGCTACTCTTTGGTAGGGAATTTTGTTAGCTAAGAACCGGTGCTGGTAGGGGAGGGGGGAGAAAAGGAAAGGAAAAGGGCGATAAGCGTGTTGTGGAGTGCGGAGGCAAGCTCTGTGGCATTGGTGGCTTTGAGAAGACCACCCAGTGGTGAGGGGAAGAAGGAGAAGCACAGGGAGGGAAGAGGGCAAATGTATGGACGGGTCTCAAGTACTAAAAGCCTTTGAATGAAGAAACAGGACGTTACGGGAACGAGACGAGGGGGTTCAGTACAAATACAGGACGCTGCATGTGACCCCGGCTAGAAAAAAAACACGGGAATATCATGCTGATAAGCGAAGTAAAGAGTCCACCGACTCTGCACTCCAGTGTGCAACACATTTAGTGACATTCTATGATAATCACAGGAAAAAGATGAGCGGTTGGAACTTGGACTTGCTGCGGTAGAATGGACAACTGTCACTATCCACGATGATTATGATACGAGCACACACAGCACAGCACACACAGCACAGCACACACAGCACAGCACACACAGTACAGCACACACAGCACAGCACACACAGCACAGCACACACAGCACAGCACACACAGCACAGCACACACAGCACAGCACACACAGCACAGCACACACAGCACAGCACACACAGCACAGCACACACCTCTCGACTGCACTCTCTCGCGTCTCTCCGCCAATGGGGTGATCTCCAAAAGAGAGAAGGTGAAGATTCAACCTTGGGAAGCGACAAAGAGGGAAGGAGCAGAAAAGGAGGTAACAATCGAGTCAGCTGGTGATAGTCACTACAAAGGTAGGAGTCATATGTGCGCCAAGGAGCGAATTCTTTGTTGCTCAGGTATTCATGGGCTGCCTCCGTTAGTGATTCTTGCACTAGCGTCGTTGCTAGCCAGAGAAAAAAGCTGCCCTGCTCTTCCGCGTGAGAGAGGATCGTGACTTGACTCACGCTCTAAGAGATGCCCAGGCAATGTTGATTAGAAGCTCAAATCACCTTTATTCAACCATAGCTCACCTGCAGCCAGTTGAGGAGGCTGACGGCGAGCATGGAGAGCGGGATGAAGACGGGCAGCACGTTGAGCGGGGGGACTCCTGACCCCTCACCTAATAACCTAGTAGATCAACTCCCAGCTCTCACCTGCGGCCACTTGAGGGCAACGGCGAGCATGGAGAGCGGGATGAAGACGAGCAGCACGTTGAGCGAGCACCCAAGGAAGAGAGCCATGAGACTCTTCCGCCAGTACCCCTCCCACGTCGCTGCCACCGCGCCTTTAGGAAGGCGTGACTTGCCCATCCCTTCGTCCGAGTCCGAGTCACGGGGCTTGCTAGAGGAAGAAAGGGGTGAGAAGGCGTGGAGAGGGGTTGCTGTGGTGAGGTCTCTTTCTGGGTTGCGTGGAGGACCCAGGCCAGTCCAGGAGAGAGAGGGAGAGCACAGAGCCACGAGGCTCTTCCGCCGTACTCCTCCCACATCACCGCCACCACCCCCTTGGGCAGCCGCGCCTTGCCCACCCCCTCATCTGAGTCCGAGTCACGGGGCTTGCTGGGGGAGGGGAAGTGGGAGGAAGGAAGGCGGGGTGGGGGAGGGGGGTGTTCGGGGTACGAGGGGAGGCGACAGCATCGGTTGGTGGTAACCCTCGTTGAATATGGAATTCCGGGGTTCCATTCAACCCGAAACGACACCCCTGCTCGCCTGAGATTGTTCCTCTGCCTCACACCCCTTTCTCCCCTCACCCGCATCCTCGTTCACACATTTCCCCTTCTCAACCCCGTACCTCCTCTCCTCCCTTCTCTACTCACCTCCTTCCTCCTCACCCACTTTCCCCCTCCCCTCTCCGCCCTCTCCCCTCCCCTGTGTCATTGATCAGCAAGCGCACAACATCCAGGCTCTTACCCTTCTCATCTCACCATGATCCGGCACTTCCCCCTCAACCATCCCCCCTTCCCCCCTCTCCCACTCCCCGTCCTCCGCCTCCTCCCCTTCAATTTCCACCTCCTTTACGTAATGTCAGGCTCAGGGATCCAAGAGAGGCGAAGCAGTTTTTGGGACGTCTCTACACATCACCCACCTGTCACTACGAAGGTTTGAGACGAGACGTCTCCAAGCCATCAACTTCCCTTCCAAACCGATCCCAACCACCCACGCCCACCCACCTGTCACTGAGCAGCATCCTTTCAGACATCTCGAAGCCACCACCACCCTTCAAAACCGATCTCAACCACGCACCTGTCACTGAGTGCTCCTCATGATCATCGTCCAATTCGTGGTGCGAGATGTCCACCAACTGCCACGTGGCACCCACGATTCGAGAAGGGAAACATGGGGTAACGAAGGAGGTTACAATAACGACGAATGTCGCGCACTAGGGTTTGGAATCACTCTTAGTAAAGTGACAAATAATCACTATATAATCTTGAGAAGCATCTCAAAAGGCCACTACTATCACCACGCGGCAGCTGCTGCGACGAGTGCGCTCAACGCGAGCAGACCCGATTGATTTGCGCGCTTAATAGAATTTGAGGAAAGACGCGGATGTCGGAAGGTATTGTGGACATATTCGCGATGGTCGCGACTGTTGGAGCTACATTCGCGACGGTCGCAAGATGCAGATCCTAAACATTTTGTGTGACACGGCGACCGAATCGCGCAATCGCGCGTTCGTGCCATCAGCGATAGAAAATCTGTGCGGGCGTTCAGTCGACATGCGATCTGACGCACTTGATCTTCCGACGTAAACGCATTAGCGGGACAAAACATTGTGCCTAACACTTCTCAGACGCCTTAGATGGGAAGGGGACAAAATATTCCAGATTCAGACACACAGCACTGCCAGGATTTTGACGCAACGATGAAGAAATGACGAATCGACGCACATGAATGCGCGTGGTCTTTGGAAAAGAAATGAAGAATAAAAGAGCTGGATGTGGATGCATTTTCCACCAGCACACTGACGTACCTCGAGGCTCTTTCTGTTGTTCGACGCCATGAGGGAGCCGCGGGGCCCTCCACGAGAGTTTAAAACCAGAGTTCCAAAAGTTCCTAACTTAGGAAGCTTACGAATCCAGCTCCTGGCTCTCCGTCATTCCCGCCCCGCCAAACTTTGTCGCTGCTCCCTTATTGGTTCTTGTACCAGCCTCGAAATCCCCTAGGATCAAAAGGTTCTGCGGTCAACCTAGTGAACGTGGCCAACAGTAGTTTCGAACAAGCGTGCAACTGTTATTCTGACCCCAACCTTACAACTCTTACGGGTTTCGTATATGGCGTACGTTGTTTCACCACTTCCATTCATCAACGGATTTGTTGACTCGACAGCACGGTTCAATACGTTGCAGAATATTGAGACCTGGTTTTCGTACGGTTTGGTAGTGCTGAATTTCGTCCCCCCCTAACTAGATTCATCATAATTTCAGGCTACCAAGGCAGGAGGTGCTTCTCGAAGGCAAATTTCTTGATTCGTCATGCATGCATTCATGGGGACCACGCGAAGCTGCTTTGGATGCGGTCGTGACAGGGACAGGTCGACGTTTGCCGTGTATGCATTCGTGACGCTCAGGATGAAATTCGATGGCGTTTGGCGGGATCTCTACAAGCTCAGGCGAATTTGCCCAGCCTTGCATGAATGGAGCAACAGCCGCAGAGAAAATGGGCAATTCAACCCAATTTCTCCCAACCCACATCGAGAATCTCCCAATGTCTTTCTACTATACCGTGCGATCCATCTTAGATTTGTTTTTTCCTAACGCACAGTTACACATAATCATCCAACAGCTCTGCGAACGTCACAGCTATGGAGATCCACTTCCAGGTGCCATCTCCAAATTCTTCTAACCTCAACCTGACCCAAACTTGACCTTGAAGTCACCTACGAGTCAAGCGCCCTGGTGATTCGAGAGTCAAAGGGTCCGTCAAGTTGGGGTGACCCCAAACTGACCCCGAGCTCACCTGGCAGCAAACCCTAAGGTGACGCTCAGGTCGTTACTGTTCATCCGAGTCGCCAACAACGTATAGAGTGACCCGATACTAGCACGGCAGCTACAGCGCATATACGTGTATACGTACCCGTACATTTAGAATAACACCAGGTCGCAATGTTTTATTTAATTGGACAATTTCCATATATTTATATACAGGAACAGGACATGCATGAGCAACATAAACATGTATTTTCTTTACGGTTTCCATTTCCTAGCACATCATCCCACACTACTCAACTAGTCATCGTCAGCTACGTTATGAGGCATGTCCAGCAAATATGACATTGGAGTCATTTTTCGGGTTCAAATGCATATCCAACACCTGCCAACAAAATATGAAGATATAATTAGCACATTGTAACGAAAACGCGTGAACTTCGGTAAATACCACTGTGCAGACCCAACCGTTAAAGCCATAATAAATATCCCAGTAGTCTCTCTGTCAGACGCGCCCTGTACCAACAGCCAACGCACATGCGATTCGAAAACACATTGTCAGTTAAACAAACGCCGTCACATGTATTGCCATGAAGCGTGAAGGAACGTGATTCTAAGTGTTGGGTTTCAAACCTAAGTAGATGTCAATGGTGACCCACGGCTTCTAGAAACAGCGTGAGCCATGGGGAAGAAGCCACGACTAGAGCCGTTGCAGCGCCAGTGGCCATCCGTTGCTGCTCGTCGCTTCCCACCATCGCCGTCACCAGCACCGCGCCCATCACAGCCACCCGTCCAACCACACCCCTGGAAGAGCCTGCAAAAGCAACGGGGCAAGGAGAAGGGGGAATAACCATTAGACAAACCAAAAAAATCCAATAAAAAAAGGAGGCTAATATATGGGGATGCGCTGGTGCCTAAACGTTGGATGCGATGGGGCCTTCGCTGGAACAGCCTGCGAAAGCGATGGGCCACTTAGAACAAGTGCCACTAGAGTCACATCAGCGCACTCCGTAGCATGGGACTACGCTCTCATTTTCTTGAGGAGATAAGTTGGTAGACACGCAGATACAAGAGTGGAGCAGCAATTCCTAAAAGAAGAAAATCATTCAGAGCAAAGTTTAATGGGAAAGCTTTGCGTTAAAGAAAGAGTTTGGTCGAGGTACGACTTGGTTTGGCATGGTATTGTAAGGTAGCGTGGTTTAGCGACATATGGTTGAAGCGGGGAGTTGATGACAGATTGGGTGGTTGTGTGTGTGGGTGAGCTGCTGGAGGAGTGGTGGTGGTTTCGTTGCCAGCTGGCGTTACGTGACAGGTGGCGCGAATGTATTGCCTACTAAACTTGTTCGTGCTGGCGGCGCAGTTCAGGTGTACGGCTAGGTTGGGCTGGGTCGTAGGGGGTGTGATCCGGGTGGGTTGGGTAGGAGTGATGTATGGTAGGGAATGTGAAGGGTATAATTCTCGCCATTTCCTGGGTTGGCTACTCGTGATTGGCTGCTCAGATTCCTTGACACACGACATTTCAGTCACGATTGCTTTGATTTCGAAACCAAGCTGTGTCAATTAATTCGCTAACTGCTGCGAGGGTCTTTCGCGACCCTCGCCACGACCATCGTAACACACGTAATGAAGCCGTACATAAGCGTCTTCGTTATCGAGCCTCTTGAAATCTCCAAAGCTAACATTCGATTAAACAAAGAAATTGATAATTAGCATGGCTCACATACAATTTGGAAAAGTAATTTCATTGCACTTCGTAACTAGATCTGGAAGATGTATGGTATTTCAATATCAATAGCATAGTGACAACTATGTAGGAGAAATTATAAAACTAATATTGAAACAATAAAAACGTACACATCCCTAAGAGTTTATCTTTTGTGATACGATTTTAGTCGCATATTTTGAGCTTGCTACATTTTTTATATTCACGGAAGTTTACTTGGGTATGTGCTGTTTTCTATTTTGTATTGTTTTTGCAACTGTTATGTTCATTGTTTCAGTGTTTACTGTTTTTGTCCTTGATAGTCTAGCGCTCTAGTGTCGCGGACGATGTTTTCTTTTTTTCCAACTCGTATGCGATTGGCCAATGTTGCCTTGCGAGCGCGACTCGCCCAGCGAAGCCTTTCGATTCGCCAATGTTGCATGCAGTAGCGGCTCGGAGCTTTCGGAAGCGCGCCCCGTGGTTAGGTTGGGGTCAAATTGGGGTCAGGCGCGATTTTTCAGACAAAATTGCTCACCCAAAGGTAACATCTGGGTCGCGTTAGGCTGCACTTGACCTGGAAGTCACCTTTGGGTGAGGTTCAGGTGACCGTGTAGTCACCTGGGGGTTGTAAATTTCGAGTGGTCAGGCTAGGGTCGGCCACTTTTTGGTGATGGCCGTCCTTGGTTTTTGGGTTTCATTTTGGAGCTGTCCTAAGTCCTTGGATCTCGTTCGTGTGCTCCTTGGTCTTTGGGTCTCGTTGTGTGCTGGCCTTGGTCACTGGGTCTCATTTGGGTGCTGTACTCTGTCCGGGTCTCGTTTGGGTGCTGCCCTCGATCCTTTGGACCCGTTTTGTGACCTTTAGAAACGTTGTCGTCTTGAAAGGTTCTCTCATTCAGTGTTCTAGTCGATGTGTTCTTTATCCTTGTGCCCCTTGTGCCTCAGAAAACTAGTGCATCTGTCATCTGAAGCAGATCAACGTGCTGTTTACCAAGGGGGCGCAGGGGAGGAGCGACGTTGACGGGCACTGTGTGCGAGGAGGGGACGCGGCAGCAATGGAAGAGCAGCCAGCGCACGAGGTGGAGGTGCTGAGGCGGACGATGGAGAGAAACCCTGATGACATCCGCTTCCAGCTTGAAGTGGACATTTGCAGAGGTATGTTGTATGTAGTGTAGCATGGGAATGGATGGTACTGCATGGGACCAGGCAGGACCGCATGGGAATGGATGGTACTGCATGGGACCAGGCAGGACCGCATGGGAATGGATGGTACTGCATGGGACCAGGCAGGACCGCATGGGAATGGATGGTACTGCGTGGGACCAGGCAGGACCGCATGGGAATGGATGGTACTGCATGGGACCAGGCAGGACCGCATGGGAATGGATGGTACTGCATGGGACCAGGCAGGACCGCATGGGAATGGATGGTACTGCATGGGACCAGGCAGGACCGCATGGGAATGGATGGTACTGCATGGGACCAGGCAGCACCGCATGGGAATGGATTCCCATACCGTGGGTGGTTGCATGCTGTTTCCCATACCGTGGGTGGTTGCATGCTGTTTCCCATTCCTTGTGATGTTCACATTCTTTACATGCTGTTTCCCATTCTCTCTGTGATATATACCTTTTAACCCCCAATGTAGCACGGATAGTGAAATTGGAGGAGCAGGTGCAGGCAGGTACTAGTGAGGCGGACAAAATGGGGGCATTGGAACGGCTGAACCATGCGTTGAGGGAGGAGCTGCTGGAGGCGCTTCATAAAATTGAGGCGCAAAAGGGCCAAGGCGAGGTGCTGCAGAGGGAGAAGGAGGAGTTTCGGGCAAAATCTGTTCGCATGGAGGAGCAGGTGAGGGCATAGAACTGGGGGGCTTGCGAGTGGTGAGGAAGGGGGAGAAGCGTGGGGGGAAGGTGGGAGAATGTAATTGGGGAGGGTGGATGTGCGAATGAGGGATGCAGAGTGCATATACTTTCCTCTTTTTTTTTTTTTTTTGGTAATTATGGGTAGATTTCTCAATATTGCGTTTATGTGTGTGCAGGCCAGGGTGCAGTGTGGAGTGGCGGAGGAACAGGTTCGTACGTTGTCGCAGCAAGTGGCGGCATTCCAGCAGGCAGAGTTTGCTCTCAAGATGCAAGTTGTGGAGCGGGACAGGCAGAAGGCTGACCTTGAACGTGAGTTGAACGCGTGCCAGGCAGAACAAGCCAGAAATGCTGCTGAGAGGGATCAATTCGCCAGGGAAACAGCACAGCTGCTGCGCGCAGGGCGGGAGGTGAGGCTAGAGCTGGTGGAGGAGAAGGAGAGGGCTGATGAGGAGTTAGCAGCTGCTAACGAGAGAAATGCAGCTGCGAGAGAGAAAGCTGAAGTGCAGGAAAGGCAGTTGAGGGCGGAACTGGAAGAGGCACAAAAGCAGATGGAGGTTTTGGTGGAGGAGAAGGAGAGGGCAGAAAAGCAGGTGGATGTTCTAGTGGGGGAGAAGGAGAGGGCAGAAAAGCAGGTGGATGTTCTAGTGGGGGAGAAAGAGAGGGCTCAGGAGCATTTGTTAGAGGCAAGAGAGAAGGTGAGAAAGTTGGAAGATTTCGAGAGAGAGAGTGGGAGGGTGCTGGCAGGGCAGGAGGAAGAGCTCAGGTTGGAGAGAGAGCGGGCGAGTCATGTTGCGGGACAACTGGGTCACCTCAAGGAATTGCTGGAGGTTCGCTTTGCTACAGCTATCCCTGCTGCAGCTGCCGCGGCTATCCCTGCTCCTGCTGTTGCTATCCAGATTGCTGCGGCTGCTAATACCACTGCTGCAGTTGTTATACCTTCTGCTGCTGCTGCTGCTACCCCTGCTGCTACACCTGATGCTACACCACCTCCCTCTGCTGTTTCTATACCTGCTGCTGCTGGTGATGCTGCTATTCCTGCTGCTGCTGCTACTGCTATCCCTGCTGCTATTCCTGCTGCTGCTGCTGCTGCTGCTGCTACTATTCCTGCTGCTGCTGCTGCTGTTATCCCTGCTGCTGCTGCTGCTGCTCCTCCTGCTGCTGCTGTTTCTACACCTCCTCCTGCTGCTGCTGCTACTCCTCCTCCTGCTGCGGCTGTTTTACCTACTTCTGCTGCTATATCTGCTCCTCTTCCCAATCCCTCCACCTCAAAGGAGGTGGTTGAACTGCCTTTTACAATTCCCACAGCTTCTGCTCCTGCTGCCCCTGCTGCTGCAAATGCTCCTGCCGCCCCTGCTGCTTCAAATGCTCCTGCTGCCCCTGCTGCTGCAAATGCTCCTGCTGCCCCTGCTGCTGAAAATGCTCCTGCTGCCCCTGCTGCTTCAAATGCTCCTGCTGCCCCTGCTGCTGCAAATGCTCCTGCTGCCCCTGCTGCTGAAAATGCTCCTGCTGCCCCTGCTGCTGAAAATGCTCCTGCTGCCCCTGCTGCTGAAAATGCTCCTGCTGCCCCTGCTGCTGCAAATGCTCCTGCTGCCCCTGCTGCTTCAAATGCTCCTGCTGCCCCTGCTGCTGAAAATGCTCCTGCTGCCCCTGCTGCTTCAAATGCTGCTGCTGCACCTGCTGCTGAAAATGCTGCTGCTGCACCTGCTGCTGCAAATGCTCCTGCTGCCCCTGCTGCTGCAAATGCTTCTGCTGCCCCTGCTGCTCCAAATGCTCCTGCTGCTCCTGCTGCTGCACCTGCTGCTGCTGTGGAGAGCGCAGGCACCTCGCTTGCCCTTGCAACGATGGGGCTTCCTCCTGTCAAAATCGTAAAGCAATACAAGACGAGCGTGAGCGCGGTGAACGGGCTGTTAACATCTGCCGACCCCAAGGGGCAATGCCAGAGCACCTGCGAGGAGCTGAAAAAACTACAGGACCTATTAGACTCAGCTGGTGAGACTGTGCGTGTAGAGAGGGGCGGAAGGGGGAGGAAGATCCAGTCTCGACTTCGGCAGCGGGGGGGAGGTGTTCCAGGTCGGGAAGGTAAGATTACTGGTTTGCAGGTGATCACCAATAAATCAGCGGCGACATTTGATCATGGTGCTCCAGAGAAAGAAACAGCTCCGGCAGAAGGAGGTAGTGGCAGAGGTGATGGCAGCGGTGGTGGCAGCGGTGGTGGCAGCGGTAATGGCAGCGGTAATGGCAGCGGTAATGGCAGCGGTAATGGCAGCGGTAATGGCAGTGGTAATGGCAGCGGTGATGCAGAAGATTCCGCAGGTGTACCTCCAACCTGGCCGGTTCATGTTCAAGCATTTTGCAAGGAAATGGGGCAGCTGATTAAAGACTACCAGCTTGGTAATCACCAGCAGCGGGCAGAGCTAAGGAGCAAAGGCTTGGGCAAGTTGCACGAAGCTCAGAAGCTTCTGTGCGAGTGGGAGTTCTATAATGTCTCTCGCTCGCCAGATGGAAGGAGGACCCAGGCGCTCTTTCAACAAGGGCCGAAGAAGAACCGGTCTCTCGGCTCATGGAATGATGACTCGGCGCAGTCATTCTCTGCTGCGCGAAAACTGGTTCTCTGTGCAGAGTTTGTCTTTAAACGGAGGGATTACGATGTGGTGGGTGGGAGGAGGGGGAAGTTGCCAGATTTTTGGAATCAGTGCAAACGGTTTTTGGGAGAGCCGCTCATGGGAAAGTTGGAAGAGGTTAGGGAAAAGCAGGCTATGAAAGCCCTTGAAGAGCATGTGTGGGGCGCCTTCATTGATGAAGTTGAGAAGACTGAGAAGGGAAAGCCTATCAAGGAGCCATGGCAACTGGTGCCTCATGGAGATGTGTCTGGGAAGAGGAGGAGGGGGAAGGGTGAGGTGGAGGAGGAAGGACGAGGAGGAGGAGGAACGACAAAGAGGACGAGGAATGACGAGGGAAGGCATTGAGGAGAAGGGAGGACGTGGAGGAGGAGGAAGAAGAGTAGGTTAAGGGGGGAGCAATGGGAGGGGACTGACATGGCAAGTGGGAAGGGTGCAGGATATGCTCTGTACATGGGCTGCTGGGGTGTGCATGGGTTGCTGGGGTGTGCATGGGTCGCTGGGGTGTGCATGGGTTGCTGGGGTGTGCATGGGTTGCTGGGGTGTACATGGTTTGCTGGGTGGGGGCAGCTTGTATGTGTGCTTTGATTTCTATTCGTTCTTTCATTTCAAGTTGGGAGTTGGTGGGCACAGCGCAATAGAAATAGTCAGAAGTTTTTTACGGTCGGCGTAGCTCACTAGCCTAGGCAGAATCACCAATATACATAGGCAGCCTAGATAGTGAGTTCCTTGCTGGCTTGTTTGTTTGTATCCTTCCTTTTTGGAGTGCAATTGCTGATTTTTCCCCGCTTGTCTGCACCGATGGGGGAATATGAAGTCAAATGGTGAAGGGACTTGTCTTAGTGAGAAAGCAGCTTATATTCAGCAAGCAGGAGCAAGAGCAAGGAGAATGGAAGAAGAGCATTTCAGGGAGAGGCAACAGGTCGGCAATCATCCCCTCTGTACGTCCCCAGGCTTGCTGTTGCCGCTACTGCTGCTGCGTCTACTGCTGTTTCTGGCACTGTTTCAGCATGCTACACTGTCACTGGTGCATGTTGCACTCCCACATACATGCATCCACCAGATTGAAGCTCTACAAGCGAATGAACCTTCACTTGACTCACACCTGTTCTTGATTTCTGTGCCATCCGCTCTCAGTTCTCCATTTTCGGATTTGCTCACTCCCCCAATCTCTCTTGGCTCACGTGTCCCTCCAAGGTGACGGCGATTGCTTAGAACTCCCACCTGCTAAGTTGCTCAAGTCATGGCAGATGTCTAGTTCTGAGGCGCCTCAAAACTCAATCTCTCTTTCCTCACGTGTCCCCCCAAGGTGACGGCGATTGCTTAGAACTCCCACCTGCTAAGTTGCTCAAGTCATGGCAGATGTCTAGTTCTGAGGCGCCTCAAAACTCAATCTCTCTTTCCTCACGTGTCCCCCCAAGGTGACGGCGATTGGTTAGAACTCCCACCCACCTGCTAAGGTGCTCAAGCCATGGCAAATGGAGGATGTGCATGTGAAGTGGATGTGGTAAGTCACATCCTTCCAAGTCACCATTTGTTTGCAGGATTTGTATCAACTCAATCAAGCAAAGGCTGAGACTCAGAACCTAAATGCACATCTCAATCTGAGCAGGCACCACCTTCGCCTCCCTTGAGTTCTTGGTTGCATGCGCTTGCACATGCTACACAAACAAGATCATGTTTCCTTGTTCAAGCTTCCGTTAATTCTGTGATTGCACCATTGACGGGGAGACCAGGGTGTGTGATAGGGTGAGCGGTGCAGAGGGCTTGTCGCCAATGCTTTCCTTTCTCCACACGCAGCCATCTCCACACATGTCCACTCACGTATTGTCATCTCCACACATGTCCACTCAGGTATTGTCATCTCCACACATGTCCACTCACGTATTGTCATCTCCACACATGTCCACTCACGTATTGTCATCTCCACACATGTCCACTCACGTATTGTCATCTCCACACATGTCCACTCACGTATTGTCATCTCCACACATGTCCACTCACGTATTGTCATCTCCACACATGTCCACTCACGTATTGTCATCTCCACACATGTCCACTCACGTATTGTCATCTCCACACATGTCCACTCAGGTATTGTCATCTCCACACATGTCCACTCAGGTATTGTCATCTCCACACATGTCCACTCACGTATTGTCATCTCCACACATGTCCACTCACGTATTGTCATGTGCACACATGCAAGTCCATTTCAACACAAACTTCAACATGCACCCTTACCTTCTTGTAGCAAAGAAGAACAGGTTCGACCTGGATCCAACAGGTGACTCGTCCTTAACAGGTATCTAGTCTTAATCTTCTCTAGGCTGAGCTTAAGCTAGTGTGGCAACACAAACTTCAACATGCACCCTTACCTTCTTGTTTTATTTTCAAGAGTGGCAAACTGCGCAGTAGCTTTCTCACGCATTCGTAATCCACTGAGTTTAATGCTAACCCGCCCACTGCCATTACTAATCTATTCTCGTTCATTGTAGCTCACTACTACTGTTTGTTTCTAGTTTTTATTTAGTGTATTGCTATCCCACCCACTACTGTTCTCATCCATCTCACCTCATGTTATCTCCCACCAATCCCATCCCATCCCATCCCACCCATCCCATCCCATCCCATCCCATCCCATCCCATCCCACCCATCCCATCCCATCCCATCCCATCCCATCCCATCCCATCCCATCCCATCCCATCCCATTCCAATGTTTGTAAATCTTCTTTCACATGCACCAATACAGATGAGATGAGATGTGACGATATGATATTGGATGAGAGGAGAGGAGATGAGGTGAGATGAGATGAGTTGAAATGAGATGTGATGATATGATGTGGGATGGGAGGAGAGGAGATGAGATGAGGTGAGATGAGAAGAGATGTGATGTTATGGGATGAGACGAGATGAGTTGAGTTGAGATAAGTTGAATTGAGAAGAGTTGAGATGAGTTGAGATGAGATGACATGAGTTGAGATGAGATAGGTTGAGTTCAGATGAATTTGAGATGAGATGAGATGAGTTGAGTTGAGATGAGTTGATTTGAGCTGAGTTGAGATGAGATGAGATGAGTTGAGTTGAGATGAGTTGAGCTGAGATGAGTTGAGTTGAAATGAGTTAAGATGAGATGAGATGAGATGAGTTGAGCTGAGATGAGTTGAATAAGTTGAGTTGAGATGAGTTAAGGTGAGATGAGTTGAGATGAGATGAGATGAGTTGAGTTGACATGAGTTCAGTTGAGTTGAGTTGAGATGAGTTGAGATGAGATGAGATGAGTTGAGTTAAGATAAGCTGAGTTGAGCTGAGATGAGTTGAGTTGGGATGAGTTGAGATGAGATGAGATGAGCTAAGATGAGATGAGTTGAGATGAGTTGAGATCAGTTGAGATGAGTTGAATTGAGATGAGCTGAGATGAGATGAGATGAGTTGAGTTGAGAGTTGAGATGAGTTGAGATGAGATGAGATGAGTTGAGTTGAGAGTTGAGATGAGTTGAGCTGATATGTGTTGAGATGAGTTGAGTTGAGAGTTGAGATGAGTTGAGTTGAGAGTTGAGATGAGTTGAGCTGATATGAGTTGAGATGAGTTGAGTTGAGAGTTGAGATGAGTTGAGCTGATATGAGTTGAGATGAGTTGAGTTGCCATTCGCCTTTTGCCACCTGAGCCCCTTCTGTTGTAACATCGTGTACCCCAAGCACTATTCATACCAGCCATACCAGCATACCAGCCATACCAGCATACCAGCCATACCAGCATACCAGCCATACCAGCATACCAGCCATACCAGCATACCAGCATGTTGTAACATTTATAACAGCCTGCTGCAACATTCATACCAGCCTGTTGCAACATTCATACCAGTCTGTTGCAACATTTATGTCAGTCTGTTGCAACATTCATACCAGTCTGTTGCAACTCCCATACCAGCCTGCTGCAACATTCATACCAGCCTGTTGCAACATTCATACCAGCCTGCTGCAACGTTCATACCAGTCTGTTGCAACATTTATACCAGCTTGTTGCATTGCAACATTCATGCCAGCCTGTTGCAACATTTATACCAGCCTGTAAAAACATTCATACCAACCTTTTGCAACATTCCTACCAGCCTGCTGCATTGCAACAATCATACTAGTCTGTTGCAACATTCATACCAGCCTGCTGCATTGCAACAATCATACTAGTCTGTTGCAACATTCATACCAGCCTGCTGCATTGCAACAATCATACTAGTCTGTTGCAACATTCATACCAGCCTGTTGCAGTATCCATACCAGCATGTCACATCTTGTTCCTTTTGACATTGTTATCTCAGTGGCGGCAATCCTCAGCTGCAGCCGAAGTGTGCTGCAGCCTATGTGTGTGCTAGCTATATCATTCATTCCCCCGGCTTCCAGATCCTTCAAATTTCCCGTTTATTATGAAGTCAGCTCAGAATCCGTCTCCGAATCCCTCCCACT